CAAGCCCCCGATTCATCAAACCATACCTGCGCGGCCTTCGGAGGCGGCACGACGCTAGCATCAGTTCGACTCGCCTCGAGACTAAACGAGTGGTCATAAGTACATGAATGACACTTCTGACGCTCGTCTTCATCCTGCGTACATGTTTCCTACGTACATATTTCCTGCCGCAAAAGGAGACAGCGACAATCTGAAAGCCATCCAGCTCGAGCTGCCAAGTTCAACATGGGCATGATGGCAGATACCCACTACATGACATGCCTGGCGCCTGGCAAAGAACCGCCACAAATTTCAAGATTGCAAGCAAGTACATCTATTCTTGTTACAAAGCTGTCCCAGCTCACCAGTAGAATACACATGACGGGCCGGCCCAACCACGCCCCAGGAAACCCAAACACGGCGACGAGAGCTCACACGCCAAAGCGAAACTCCCGAAACTTCTTCTGATAGTAGAATGTCGACAGCGCGCCGGCGACGGTCAGGCCGATGGCCGGGCGGGACCTTGCCTGCGTGGCGACGAGCCGCTGGGCGCCGGCGCCCAGCAGGACGACGCTGCTGCCCAGCGCGAGCTCGGCGCCATAGTCCTTGTTCTTCTTCAGGAGGTATCCTGCACGCACGCAGAGAGTGGTTAGCTGGAGCTCCGCGCCTCGTGGCGCATGGAGCGGGCGGAGCGAGGTGAGATTCGCAGCACTGCCCGGCAACACGGGCCACGGCCCCCAGAGGGCCAGAGGGAGAGGGTACTAACCTGCAAAGGCAAAGCTCGTGCCGAGAGTCAGGCCTGCGATGAGAGACGGCTTGGAACGCGTGCGGACGAAGCCGAAGGTGCCGCCGGCAGCCACTGTTGGGCGGGCGGGTACACGTGAGCATTTGACCTGGGAACGGGAGGGGCTAGTCAGAGCGTCGGGACTTACACAGGCCTGCCAATGTGAATGCGGGGTGCTCAGCCATGACTGTGACGTTTGCGCTGTGTGTGAGATGGATGGCAAGGGAGGTAGCATGAGCACACGAGGTTGAGCTTGGGGGTTGACAGCTCTCGAGTCGTCGAGGTCATGATCTGCTGAGATAAGCGAAAAGAAATGAGTGAAAGGTCCGAGTGGGGCCGGACTTTCGGCCTGGCGATGGCGTGCCGCAACTTGAGCGTGATGCAAACGAGGAGAAACGGGTCAAGATTCGGTATTTCAAAACGATTAGAATGGGAGAATGTGAGTAAAGGCGTGTTTATACCGAAGATGTCAACCAGCTGGTTCTTCTCCCGCATGAATTGCCTTCGTGAAGCTAGTGCCGTTTTCCTAGATGCCTCGCGGCGTTGAATCAAAGACACTACGAACAGCCATCGAGCTTGCTCATCGTTGCAAAACCATTGTGTATTCAGACCCCCAAACTCCTTATATGCATGTCACACCGCTTCCGCACGACCATCTTTAGGCTTTTCCTCTGGCTTCTCCTGAGGCTTCTCCTGAGGCTTGTCCCCTGGCTTCTCCTGAGGCTTGTCCTCTGGCTTCTCCTGAGGCTTCTCTGTCGGCCTTTCTTCCGGCTTGCCTTCTGGCATTTCTTTGGGATTTTCCTGCTTATCATCTGGTTTCCCTGGAGCAGCATCCTCTGGCTTGCCCTCTGGCTTGCCCTCTGGCTTGCCCTCTGGCTTGCCCTCTGGCTTCTCCCCCGGTTTGTCTTCCTGCTTCGTCTCTGGCTTCTGCTCTGGCGTGACTTGTGGCTTCTCCTCGGGCTTGCTTTCTGGCTTGTCTTGCGGCTTCAATTCAGGCTCGAGCTCCGGCTTGATGTCAGGTTTGGCCTCCAGCTTGGCCGCCTCCTTCTCAGGCTTCTTCGCTGGCTTCTTCGTCCCAATGACCGGCGCCGCCTCGCCACTGCACAGCTTCTGCAACGGGATAAACGGCTCGTCAACGGCATCCGTAAAAACGCCACCAAACTCATCCTCGAGCTCCACGTTCTCCGGGTACCGGTGCGCGACAACCCAGATCCGCCCATCAATGGGCCGCGGGTGTATCGGCTCGTCAGCCTGGATGGCGCGGACAGCGGCGCGTAGCAGGGGCCGCAGGACGGGGAAGAACCACGAGTCGTAGTACTTGTCGACAAAGGCCTTCTTGCTGCAAGTGTTGTGGTAAAAAGGCGTAAATGTGGCGCGTGGCCGTGTTCGTGCCCGAGGCGGAGGCCGGCGATCCAGGCGCGTGCCGAGTCGACGGGCCGCTCGTCATCGAGGAGGGCGTCGAAGAGGCGGCGCAGGCCACGGTAGAGTGGCGCCGGCATCTGGATGGTGTAGCCGGCATCGAGGACGCCGGCGGCCTTCTCGACCGTGGCGGTGCGATCGTGGTTGGCGAAGCGGAGGCGGCGCATGAACTTTTCGTTGTGGCACTGCGTCTGCGTGATGGCGTAGTCTGTGTCGAGGAAGGCGTGGTACTCGGTCACGTCGTGGCCGTCGCGCCGCGGCTCAGGAAACGTGTAGTCGTCGCGCCCTCCGGGGAAGACGCCGTCATTGAGGTCGAGGGTGCGCTGGTACTCCTGCCGCGCGTAGAGCGTCGAGACGTAGTACTGGTCCGAGTTGTGGTACTTGTACTCCGGGTCGAACGTGTCCTCGATGAGCGCCAGCGTCGCGTCGATCAGGGTCCGCAGGTCGCCCAGCGGCCCGATGACGGTGCCTGAGTTGACGAAGCGCGAGTCGCTGAACGGCAGACCGCCGGTGCCCGTCTCAGGGCCCCAGACGTAGCGGGGCAGGGTGGAAAAGGGGACGAGCCAGCAGCGCGGGTCGCGTTGCTTCTCGTCGCCGTTGCCGCTGCTGGGGAAGCACCCCTTGTCGGTGCCCCAGAGGACCGTCTGGCGCAGGCCCTTGGAGTGCACTTCCTCGACGGTGAGGCCACGCTGATCGGCTAGTCTCTGATCGGCGGCGGCGGCGACGTCAAAGTAACGCTGGATCAGGGTCTCGGCGGGGATCTGGGCGAGGACGTCGAAGCCGTCGACGACGATGACAAGATCATCATCCTCGCCGGCAGCGGGGCCGTGAAGATAGCGAGTAATGGCCCGCAGCTTTGCAATGTGAGCCGCCTTGGCGTCAAACTCGCCCGTAGCCTTGTAGCCGACCAGCACGGAATCGGAAAGCGGTTGACGAGGGCAGAAGCCACGACGGCGCACACAGGCGGCTTCACCAGCGTCGTCGGGACGAGATAATGCAATCGGGAGATTCTGCCGAGGCTCGTTACGTGTGGCCGTGCCCCTGGACCGGCCTGGGGATTACTTGAGGGTGATTCTGTGGGCTTTTCGGGCGTCTTAGTCTCGGCCCCGGCGGGCATAGATTCTAGGGAAGAACGAGATATATCCTACACAACCATGTTAATAAACGAACGACGGTCAAGTCGCAACGAACTTCTGCGACCGAACTACGAATATGCCTACCCTGTACTGAATGACCAGCGCTGTGAAGAAAAGCAACAGCAGAAAGCTGACGACACCGTAAGAGGTGCGCCGGGATGCGCTGGCAAGCATAGCGGTGGTGTTGCTCGGGGAGGTCGGACCACGGAGTTGTATCACAGAAAAGAAGAATCGTCTTACACGGGCGTCAACTACCTGATGGCAGTGAGAGGTCCTACAAATGCCTGAAGAAAGTGCCGAAGGAAAAGGTTCGGATGCCCGGATGACAAGGTGGTCAGACGAAGGGGGCCACAACACTGATGCGCGTTGAGATAGGAGAACACAGATTGGCCACGAAGCATAGCCGGCTCTGAAGGAGGCAGCGTCATCTTAAAGCAGAAACGGGAAAACAAGGGAACGGCGGGATGGACGAAGCAGAGTAAGAAGTAATACAGTTGCCTACCGGCTTGGGACGCGGCACAGCACAATAGCTTGGCCCCGTTTGGCGGCACAAGGTACTGGGTATTGGCTCGTCCTGGACAGGATGATGGATCGCGTCTTTCTTCACAGGACGGACCTTTGCAAGCTGGGCATTCCTGGGCACGCCACCAAGGAGAGAACTAGAGAAGCGGCGAGGAGGCAGTCAAGCCTCGTGGCACTGGGGGCCAGCGCTGGTCTCAGCCATCATACTTGTCTACGACAACATGTGGTTAGAGGTTCGGCTGCGTGGGTGTGGACATGGGGGCGAGACAGCCACAAGACGGCGACAGACATCCAAGGGGGGATGAAGAGCCCCATGGACATTGGCTGCGGCTTGTGCCCTGCGCCTGGCGCCCAGCTTCAGCGATGGAAAGAAAAAGTGAAGTGAGGCCAGGCCAGGGGACTGCTTGGAGGAGTGCCTGTGGTTCTTGTCTCCGCGCCTCGTCGATCGGATCGGTTTTGGAGGGGGCGGACGCCAAAGCAAGGGGATGGCTGACAAGGGCTGAGGAGCCAGATCCCTGCGGCCAACGCAATAGAGATGGGCCTTTTGAGGTGATATTGGCGGATTTTGGGAACAAGAGCCAGGCTTGGCCATGGAGTATGCTGGAGAATTTGCACGCCAGCCAAGATGCCGGAAGAATGAGACGATGCAGGAGTGTCGTCTCGAGGATGGACTTTCCCTTCCGGGCGACCCACTGTTGCCGTCCATCCATGGTCGCTCTTTCTCTCCCTCTTCTCTCACAACTACCTAGGTACCTACCTAAGGTAAGGTACCTACCTAACCTGTAATCGCGACCTCTCGGCAGTGCGTGAAAATGCCGGCGATGACTGCAAGAGAGAGGTGTTTTCCTCCCCTCATTTCGACAACACGAGAAACCTTACAGAAGTTAAGTTTTACTAAACGGTGCTGTGCCTCACTCGTGATTCAACTTTAACTCGCAAATAGAACCAACGGGGCGGGGGAGGTACATATACCGTGCTTTGGGGGCTTGTTCGCAGCTTCCTGATGACGAGAGAAAGTATCGGTACATCGGCCGCGTCAGGAGCACAGCCGGGGCTGGGCTGCAGCGACCCGAGACCCCTGAAGACAGGTACTGAAGACGATAACGCACTTGCGCACCTACTAGGCACCTACCGGTATCTTAAGGTGACGGCCTCGCTGAGAGATCCGTGGACCCCTGTGAACTGTGATCAGCCGCCCCAAACGTTGACAGCTGCCAACGTGGGAGGGACGGCCAGGCTGCTTACCTTGAAAAAGGTAAGGTACCTTTCCTCCAAGGTGGTAAGTACCAAGGGCGATCGCTGACACATCATCCTCCCACCATTCGGGGAGGTACAGAGGAGGGGAGCCCGGTGCTTGGAACTCGATGCATTTCCCCGCGATCCGACCTTTCGCCTGGCAGATCACAAACCCAGCTGCCGCAATCACACACAACCACACACGCAGCCAACCCCCGCCCAGACGCCGTCCGTCGCTCCCAGCTTCCACCTACAAGTCACAAGTCGCTCACCTCGCCAACATGCCCGACTTTGGCTCCATCGTCAAGGGCGGGTGGCATCCCGAGAAGAAGGGCACCACCTTCAAGGGCCAGATGGTGCGTAGCATTCCGTCCTTGTCTCACGACAATCTCCACTGTGCCACGCGATGCGCCACCACCCAGCTTCACTGACATCCCTCGTAGAAAGGCCTCGTGGGAAGAGGCGACAAGGATAAGGACGAAGAGCGTGCCAATCACGTCTCGAGACCCATCGCCTCCCTGCGAGATCCAGCCTCCTTTGCTCCTCCTCCCAAGCGCACCGCAGACCAGCCTCTGCCGCCGCCCATCTCCCGCACGAGCACAGCATCCTCTGCCGCCGCCGGACCCCCGTCCTACAACGACTCGAACCGCTATGCTACCCAGCAGCAGCAGCAGTATGGCGCCGTTGCCGAGGAGGAGGACGACACGCCAGCCCCTCCGAAGCCCTACCGGGTTGACACGACCGGCCTCTCGACGTCCCATCTGCCGCCGCCTCCCAAAATGAAGAACATGGGCATCGCGCCGCCGCCGACCCCTCCCTCCGCCGCCTCCGCCGCCAGGGCCCCGCCGCCGAGCTTGCCGCCGAGGTTACCACCCCGCACCCCCTCGGCCTCGACGACACCCATCCAGAGCCCCGCGCCTACCGGCGGCTCCTCCAACGCGGCGAGCGGCGGTGGCGGCTACCTCAACCAAGGTGCCATGAACCGTCTCGGCGCAGCCGGCGTCTCCGTTCCGGCCTTTGGCATCGGCAGATCCTCCTCTCCAGCCGCCCCGGCCCCAGCACCGGCAATGGGCCGCCGCGCCATCGCCCACCCCGGCCCCCGCCGCCTCGCACATGAGCGAGCTCCAGAACCGCTTCTCCAAGCTCAGCAAGCCCTCCTTCGGCGCACCCTCGCCAG